AATAAAAGTAAACAGAGCGATGCTTCTGAGCAATCTCTTACTTTTGAGCCACTAATCGTACCCTGCTTTTGACAAAATTAACAATAATAATCCTTAATTAGGACGGTTAATGAGGTTCATCCCTTCATTCCATCTCCTCTGCACCGCGTTGACTCATGTCTGATTAGTCTTTCTTTTTGTCCTTTTCGGTCTCTGATTCGAGCTGCCATGTCTTACAAACCAACGTGAAACCTTAATCAAAATCATATTATATCCTCTCACACATTTTCCACATTAAAGGGCGTGATCACTTTAATAATTAGTTGATAAAGTAGGGAAGCACTAACCTTTGGGATATTAATACCACTAATTGAATTCTGGGAACCCAATTATCCATCCATCCTCCAAGTCACCAACTTCAGCTATCATTGAGCTTCCAACAACCCATGGCGGCTGGTCCTTCAGTTCTCTTTCTTACCCTGATTGCCCTGTCCCTTTCTCTCATTCCACTGCCTGCAATTGCAAATGCTCGAGAGTTGATCCGAGGAGGCTACTGGATCGTCTCCAACTTCGAATCCCCTGAATCTCTCAACTCCACGTTCTACACTCACCTCATTTGTGGTTACGCCACCATCAATTCGTCCACCCACCGCATTTCAATCGACCCTTCTGACGAGCAACACTTCGCCAATTTCACGGCCATCGTCCGGCAGCAGAACCCATCCGTCACGACCCTTTACTCCATTGGCGGCGGGGATGCCAACGACACCGATTTCTCATCCATGGTCACCAATCCCACCCGCCGCGGTGCTTTCATTCAGTCCACAATACAAACAGCTAGAAGGCATGGGTTTCAGGGGATGGATTTCTCCTGGTCCGGCCAATCCGCCGACGATTTCGCCGGCATCAGCAATCTGTTCAAAGAATGGCGAGCCCAGGTCGAGGCCGAAGTGAAGACGGTCGGAGAAAAGAAGCTACTCTTGACGGCGGCGTTCGGGTACGCGCCGGATCCGAACGTGAGGAATTACCCGGTGGGTTCAATCAGGAACAACTTGGATTGGGTTCATATCATGGTGCAGAATCTGGAGCCGTCGAAATTCATGGAGCCCGACGCCCCGTTGAAGGACCCGGAGTTCTTGTCGAACACCGGATCGGGCGTGGAGGCGTGGGTTACTGTGGGGAAAGTTCCGCGGGAGAAGCTGGTACTTAGCCTGCCGTTCTATGGATTCACCTGGAAGTTGGCGAATCCCCGGGAGGGTTATATCGGTGCTCCGGTGACCGGGGATGGCGAGCTCCTCACTTACCATGAGATCAAGGACATCACAAAGGGCGCGGAGGTAGTCTACAATTCTACCTACGCCGTGAATCACTGCACATTGAATGGCTCTGTTTCGGTCATCTTCGACGGCCCTGAAGCGATTCGAGCCAAGGTTTCCTACACCACGGAGATGAATCTTGGTGGCTACTATGTGTGGCAGATCCCTTTCGATGATAACGGAGAGCTAGCTCAAGTTGCAGGTACTTCCATTCAACCTGTTTGAAGTAAGTGTTATTCCATTCAACCTTACTCAAGACTCTTTTGTTGCCTTCAGCTAAAGAACAAGGAGAGAAACAGGGGAGGATGAAGAGGCGGCAAAGAGTGTTAGCAGGGGCAATATCTACAGCTGTTTTTCTCGTAATATTTCTGGCCTTAGGTGGATTCTATTGGATTAGAATCAGTGGGCTGAAAAGACCTGAGGGTAAGGATAATCAACGACGAACATCAAATCGTCCCCGTTGATGGATTTTGTTAAGAGTAAGTTGGAATTGATAACTCTGCTCTTTGTTTGCAGGTTTGCTGGTATTGGTAGGATCAATGAAGGATAGAAGCAGAGCCTCCAATCTGAGAGCAGAGGACATAGAAGGATCGGGCCAGTTCGGTGACAACAATCTGAAAGTGTATAGTTTGGAAGAAATTAAGAAAGCCACAATGGGATTCTCCATTCAGAACAAGCTCGGACAAGGTGGCTATGGTCCTGTTTACAAGGTATGTATTCTGATTTCTGAAGGAAGCGTAAGAACACATTAAATTACCCTGAGGTGGCAGAAAACTGAACTCTCAATTCGCTGCAGGGGGTTTTACTTGACGGACAAGAAATAGCGGTGAAGAAGCTGTCGCAAACATCCTCGCAGGGGCTCCAAGAATTCAAGAACGAAGTGCAGCTAACCGGCAGACTCCAGCATGTGAATCTCGTCAGGGTTCTTGGATTCTGCATCGAAAATGACGAACAGTTGCTGATCTACGAGTACATGCCCAACAACAGCCTCGACAAGTACCTCTACGGTAATATCGCCCGACCTTTCGCTTGTCTCGTCAGTTTCTGCTTCAAATTATAGTGTAATCGAACTAACTAATGTTTGCTGCAGATCCTGCAAGGAAGAATGTTCTTGATTGGAGCAAGAGGGTGGAAATCATACAAGGGATAACACAAGGGCTTGTGTATCTCCAGGAATACTCGAGACTCACCATCATCCACCGCGACTTGAAAGCCAGCAACATCTTGCTCGACAGTGACTTCCGCCCCAAGATATCGGATTTTGGGATTGCCAAGGTCTTCTCCAAGAGTGGAGCAGAAGCAAACACCGTCAGGATCGTTGGAACAATGTAGCTACAATCCCCTAGCTAGCTATTTTCCGTACAGGAAAAACCTATTGTAATGGCATTCTGATGGTTCTTTTCTTCTTCTTCTTCTTCTTCCTGTTTAGTGGCTACACGTCGCCGGAATATCTCAAGCAAGGAGCTTACTCTGTCAAATCCGATGTTTATAGCTTCGGGATTCTGCTGCTACAGATGATCAGCGGCAAGAAGAATGGGATGATTTATGGCCCCAGTGGAGATTTCAGCCTTCAGGAATATGTAAGTTATGCTATAGCTTTACTTAGATGCTCATAATCATATGCATTCTCTCTAAGCTTGGAAAGATCTAACGATCGACATTGTTGGTTGTTGCAGGCATTTGAGTTGTGGCAGGACGGACAAGGGATGGAGATAATGGACGCGTGTCTCGACGATTCATCTTCTTCTTGCAAGCTACTCGCTTGCTTGAGGATTGCATTACTATGTGTTCAGGACGACCCTGTCGATCGACCTTCCATGCTAGAAGTTGCTTCAATGCTCAGGAATGAAACTGCTGTTGGGTTGATCTTTCCAAAGAGACCAACCTTTTCATTCAGACGACTACAACAACAGCAGCAGCAACACCAGGGAGTTAATCCTGCAGCTGAGCCTGCAGTCCTGCAACCTGAATTTTGTTCTGTAGCTGATGCGACATTTACAGAAATAGTAGGTCGATGAATTTCAGCATGTGAAATGCTCATCATGGTCAGTTGTGTCTCTCCATGTTAGTTCATTAGACGGCATTGCCATTGATGTCTGTCTCCTCACCAAATTTGACATAAGCTTTCTTTTTCTTTTTTTTTTGTAAATGTCATTCCATATCCATAATGGTACCACCAGTAACAACAACTTAACCACATTTCAGACTGCCCGTCGTCCTGCGGCCAGGAAATCGGATTGTTCATATAGTACTAGCGCGTAATGCTCTATCGATATCTCCTACAGGGTTAGCACCTTTTAATTTTTTATTTAGGTTGAGTTGGTTCTTGTTCTATTTTATACTAGACTAGTTTTTTGGCCCGCGCTTCGCAGCGGTTATAAACTAATTATTTATTTAGATAATAAAATTTATTTACTAATTTAATGATTGAATTGAAATATAAATATTCACAAAAAAGTTTAAGAAACTTTATAAGATTTACATAGTGTTTTAATTATTACGAAAGACATATGTATCACATTTTTTTAATTGATATATTCATAAATTTTACATAGTATATTTTAATAACGGTGTTACATAATCTTTCATAACATGTAGTCTAATAATAAAATGAAATTACACATCTCACCTGTGATTAAAACCAAATATTATAAACATGGAATTCTTTTATTAATGTAGCCTCTAACTAATTTAAGAAGGTGATGCAAACTTTTCTCACATTCGAGATAGGCCTATACTGTATTTATTGATTTCACCACCCTCTTTACTAATCCTCATTATTTTGCTTTATATGCATCATAATCAGTCATTATAACCAATAAATTCTCATCCTTCTATGTGGATAAAATGAACACGGAGTTTATACAATGTGTCGACATTCAGCTCATAACATCCTTTTCCGGATTATCAATAAGTAATTAGTTATGTCATATTGTAAATCATAAATCCCCTCGATAGAAAGCTACTGGATATTGTAAATAATAAATTCACACTATAACTTCAGAACTTGTGTGACATACCAAGTTTTGAAGGAAGAGTCACAAATTTCCATTAGGTAATAAATGTGAGAGCTAATAACCAAGGTTGTCGCCTGTCAACCCGTGGTTGACCCAGACCCGATGAGGAAAATGAGCTCCACACATTCGCAGACCGATAGGTTCTCGAAGTGGAGGTCACATAGTGTTGATTTTCCCTTTGGTTTGCGAATTGCACATTCCTTTCGGTTTTTTCCTTCGCCTAATCCTGCCTTTATAATTCTAAGTTAAACATTTAAATAACTATATACAAAGTTATCGAATTATTAACTTTCAAACTATTTGCTCAATAGGCCAACAGCCTAAGTCAAGCTTGACAACCTTTCTAATAACGAAGTGGGTCGAGTATCTGGGCGCAATTTATCTCTAGTTTTTTCTAGGGGTTAATTAATCTAATTCAAATGGCCTAAGCAAGAGGGCAAGTAGATTTGGCTTCCACTAACAACAATATACCTTTGATTTACACGTGTAGTCTTCCAACCATGCAGTAAATATACATCAACCACTTGTCTTTCATTCTCCTTTTCCCTGCCACCCAAATTCTCTTGCATATATTACTTAGATACCCACTCCCCAGAGGGAGAATGAGGTGAATGGAGCGGAGGTGATGATCCTCCACTACTGGCCGTTGTTATTGCCATTTCCTTCTTCTCTGCATGTCTGACTTTGGAGCGTCGGAGGAGGATTATGTTGATTTCCAGCACAAAAGCAGAGCATAGGGGATAAAGATCTGGGTTTATACACTTTTTCAATCTGTCTTTGAAAGCATCTTCATGGGAAATCGTCAATCCGGTGTAGCCGACCAAGCTCTGCATGTTAATTTCCGTCACTCGGAATTCTTGTACGGAGCTGGGATTCTGCAATCTGCATGCGGCTTTAATCATGCTTATGTAATGCTTATTTTTAGTTTCCCATTCAATTTTTTATTTTTCAGTTTCTGTCTTCAAAAAGCGCTCAAACCATCACTCTCCCTCTGGTTTTTGGTTCAGTTTTTAATCCCCTTCTCTATCCTCCCAAATGTCATTTACCTCTAGTTGTTCTGTTTTCATAATTGTTGCTTGCACAGGAAATGTTGAGCTCTCAGAACTGCTTTCCAGTATGGACAATCAGATAGCAAACGCCAAAGAGCTAGCACTGAGTCGTAGGGACGTGTTGGACAAGGTAGAGAAATGGAAGCATGCTTATGAGGAAGAAAAGTGGCTTGAAGACTATGAAAAGGTAATCATCCTTTTGACAGCTGTAATTTTTTCAAAAAAACTTCAATGGGGGAAAATGGGGATTGTGAACTTATCCAGTATCATTGATACGATTGATCGCTATTGATACCAGCATTTATAATTTTGTACAATTTTAGGTCCTTTATGATAGGTTTATTCATCCATCGTGTAATGTCTATAGATCATTCTCACATGGTAGAGGCGGAAACACTTGGTAGCTGTTCTGTGGTTGTGAATTGATTACTTGTACTCATTGTTTCTTGGATAGGCTCTCGTTGCTGCCTAGATTCAGTTCTTGAATGGGGCAACCCTCTTTTTTCTTGTACTAGAATCAATGCCCGCTGCTACGCCGCGGGAACTAAAGTTGCAACAACATGATCGTATTGAGAAGGTAGTAAAACATCATTTTGATTTAATGGCAGAATGAAAGTTGCAAGTGGAAGCCCCCATAGTCTCTGCATCACTGCATGCTTCTTACAATATGAACACATCAACTTCACTTGCAACAAAACCACACATGAAATCCTCTCCTTCAATAAACAGCCCTACAATCCAATACCATCCACATAAACTCTCTAGCCAGCCTTCTTATGTGCATCTATCGGCCTTTCTTTTCCTTTCGGGTGTATCGCCCGCGAGTCAAAATGAATCCATTGCCTTCCTGCTGTTTCCTTGTATAAACAACAACAAAAAAAAAACTCAAGAATGACTCGAGATATACTCTAGAAAGAACACTCTTGCAGTCTAATTTGAATCAAAATAGTAGAATCCAATATGGATAAAGTTTCAGTTTTAGCACCTCGTTGAGATTATCTTGAACTCTTGAAGAGCCGAGACACATGTATGTCTATGTTGTCTTTCCCTATATACAGCCAATGAAAGTTCTGGTTTTACGAAAATTACGCTCCTAGGCTGAACATCATAGGCTTGACAAAACAAATATATGGAGCTTTGATTGTAAATGGGGTACCAAAGAGATTTTGAGATACTTTGAAGATCGTGGATAATACTAAACCAACATGAAAGAATCGTTTCAAACCATTATCAACCAGCACACAAATGCAATGCAAGAAAGCAACCAAAATTCTTCATGAGAATAGCTTAGAGAAACTAAAGCAATTAGGTTTTCTGGTACCAAACTTCATTTGATTTGCTCGCTGTACATGAGAATATCTTCTGCAGCGTACCTCGAGCTTCCTTCCACGCACTGTAGGATAAAAAGTATTAAAGTTAGGTTGCAACACAGAAAAGAAAACATTTGTTGGCTTTCCATTCCCGAAGAGAGCGAGAGAGTGCAATTAGTGGTTATCTTTTCTCTGATCATTTTCTTAGCAACCAAGCAATCGACTCATCAGTCGATCAAGCAATGAACACAACCAACCTCTGACCATTCAAACCTTCAAATTGGCAGGAAATTTCTCCACCACGGCAATCAAAACATCAGAGCAAGTAGCAAGAGGGAATTATTTACAGGAATAGCATTAAAAGAATGTGGCTCTGCAAGTTAAACCTTGCCAAGCAATAAATCAAGTTCCAAATTAATTCTTTGACTCATAGATAAACCTTGAGCAAGGTTTGAGGCAAAATCATGTGCTAACTACCATCACAGCACATAGCATTTTTTTCAAAGAACTAACCTACCAAACTCTAACCAAGTAAGCTACAGTCAGACAGAGATTGTTTTTCTCATCTGCAAAAAGCAAGAGCAAGTCAGCCAAGTAGGACTGGCTACTTATCCCAGGGTCGCTATGGTAAGCAGGCTCTACAAAAAGCAATGTAAACATAACACTAAGGATGGGAGACGAACCAACTAAACAGACATGCCTGGAAGCAATGTCTTCGAGGTCCTCGAAGCGGCGGAACTCAAAGCTATCAGGATAGAAGGTGGGATCATCTTCAGGTGAGGTTCTGAAGGAAGTATTGGAATTAAAGTACAGGAGGCGGTCATTGGAGCAAGGTGCCCAGAGCCTCCTGGATTCGCGTTGAGCAAACTGTTCTACGAAGTAGACCTTCCCAACATGTAAAATCTATTGCAAATGGCTGACCAGTTGCTTCGGCGAAAGCCCTTGGACCAGGACACCCTAGGAAAGGAACTGGAATTCAGAATTGGAACTAAACAGTATAACCACCGGCGAGAGGTTAGGTAGGATGGAAGACTCACCAGTTCATCGGTCCACAGTATCGAGAATTTGAAGAACCCGTCGGGACGGGCCGGATTCCCAGCCTTCCATGTATGGAGAAGGCGCAATTTCAAGGTCGAAGCTTTGTCGGTCCATGTGAGTTTTGAAAGGACGACGTGCTTCATAGCGGCAGGGCCGGAGATTGCGGTGTGGAGGAATCGACCGGTGAGAACAGTTCTCGCGAGAAGTGGGGACGATGCAAAGCGACTGTGGGAGAAGACCGACAAAGCTAGCGGAAGTGGAGAAAGAGGAAGGCGAGAGGAGATTTAGAGAGAATTCTGAGGGTGCAAATCTTAGGTCGTACCACCAGCAATCGAGAGGGGCAAAGGCACAGACTCACAATTGGCAGGGGTAGCGTGAAGAGGGAAAACGGGGTAGCGTGCTTACCATAAAAGCATGGTTCTCTGGTGGAAAGATGAGGTGAGTTCGGCGCTGACGAAAGAGAGGACAGCAGGGAGAGCTGCATTTGCGGACTTTACGGCAAGGTAGTATGGGTTCCGCGTACGGAATGAATTGAGTCTGATTCCACCGGGACCAGGCTGCAGCTAGACGGCCGTTATTGAGTCCGAGTGTCGAAGGCGAGATCACGGCGGTGGGCAAACGGCGAAGGAAGCAGACCATTGTGGGAAGATGGTAGAGAGACCCAAAGGGCTTTTTGCAGTAGACGACAAGTATTGAAACAGTAGTTGGTGGTTTGTGGCAATAAAGCGTAGCTATCTTTTACATATAAGATAATGTTCAGCATACTTTGGAACAAAGAAATGCGCAAAATGTTGAAGACAAGCTGACCTGTGTAATTTTGATAGTCGTTTATACTAGTAAGAAAAATGCAACTCTGTTTTATATCAGTTCTCCTAAAATCTAAGCTAGCCTTCCTGAAGTTCTAAGTAGATAATGTCTTTGGCTGGAGGGTCATAATGGTGATTTGCCAATCAATTATGGGTGGCGAGAAGAAGAGTTTCAAAATGTTATCTGTTGTGATGAGGAGGATGCTAGAGCTACTAGTTAGGAGAACACAGGTCCATTGTTGCGGAAGTTGTCAGCAACTGTTGTTGCTTGGACTGGACATAATACTTTATGTGCTGCAAGATAAAGGGTATCATAGCTGTGGTTTCAATCCATCGTACTTCACTCATAGCCACTATCCATCTCTGTATCATGTTTACTGGACTGTTGGAACGTGCAGAGAAGACAAGAATTCTGATCAGCAAAATACCATGTGAGCAAGCATATCTCCTGTTTATAAAATGTACTCATATATTTGATCTGCATTAACATCACCAACTGTGGTGTCTACTACCATCTTTGGATCCATATAAGTTGTCGATAGGTTTGCAAGCCTAGCATCAGCAGGTGGATTATTTATAAGCCCAAGTATCTCTGCCCGATGGCGTCTCCAGGATCGAAGGTCTGCTTCCAAATGAACATGTTCATCAGAATATCACCTTACGTAGCCTGTCCAGCTTCTCTTGCCTTAATGATTGTATCACCTTAGTTAATCGAGCTAGTGTGCCGTTGCTTATGCTCATTGACTGAGTACGGTCACTTAAGCTGGGATGGATATCAGCAACGGTACTGGAGACATCAATTGACATTACAACTGACAGCTCATGAATTTTGCCGATAGAGCTGCTAACTTTATGTAGATGTAGATTCTGAAAATCAGACACAGAAAGATAATGAACATGAAGAGAGACTACGAGAACAAAAAATATGACAATTCAAGGAGGTATTCAACTTTAGAGCCTTTTCAGTTTGAAGTTCCTTGAGGTGTGACTTCAGTTCGCCCAACCTCTTCAGAGTCGAATCACATTCATCAATTGTTGGATGGACAGTGTTGATATCATTTCCTTCAATTTCAGCACAGATTTGAGCAATCTGTAACTGAGTCTCATGAAACTCGATCATTCGTGCTTGTTTCCTCTGTCTCAAGTCTTGCAAAGCAGGTTTGAGGGCGGATAATTGCTGCTTCAAAGAGCCTTTTACCCTCTTCGATAGACAACAAAATCAAAGCGACGAATGAGAATATAACAAAGCTACAACAGTATGGACATAATTTCCCCAAGAGATAAGAGTTCCAAGCAAAAAAAGAAACCTGAGGAAATGAGGCAGTTTCCCCAAGAGCAGAAACCAGGTCTGCAATTTCAGTTTCCCCGTCAGCCAATGACTGAGCCAACTCAGCTTTGTGCTTTCTGCTGGAGTCAACCTTTCTACGGTAGATATCAAGGCACTGTTGCTCGAGTTCCTGAAGCATCATGTCCTTATCCCCATCCTCCTCCCCAATTTCATCCCATATGACCTTCAACACAATACATTTTCATCGGAGTCAGACCAAAAGAGAACTGAGAATCAAGCTCGAATCTGAAAATCTCCAACTCGAGATCTAGCGAATTGACCTCCAAAAAACACCTAACTATGAACGGAACCAGAGAGACGGCAAATAACTGATATCGGCGATAATTGAAGTACTGAAACAGACTGTAATCTATCTTTCGGAAGAAGAACGGTTAGCGTTCTCCAGACACGTAAGGTCAGCAGCGAATCAGAAAGAAGAGAGATAGCCATCGCCAGACGAAGGAGGACCAAGCAGACACAGGCAGGGAAAGCACAAACGGAACGCTGGTAGTTTACTAAGTTAATCGCCATCGAGAGAGAAGGAGAGAGAGAGGGAGAGAACCTGCAATTGGCGGCGGAGGGAGGCGCAAGTGGTCCGGGAGGGAGAGACGAGAGCGGGGAACGTCGCCATTGTCGGAAGGAGAGTTCGAAGTGCGGAAGTTTGGGTGTGGAAGAAGGGAAATCGTCAAATGGAACACGAAACCCTAGAATTCCAGGGGAGGAAAGGTTTAGAAGGAGGGTTACGGAGGCGCTCCTTGGCTTGGCGTCACTGGAGTTGAGTTGTGCGGCTGGCTGATTCCTGAGCACTAGCACCGAATTTTTGGTCGCAGTCCAACCAATAGGAAGTTAGGGTTGTGATGACTTTTTATTAGATGAGTTGACCTAGTGTAAAATCAAAGTAGAGATATAATTGTCATTATGAAAAATATATGTAAATAATAAATAAAAAAATTAAAAATAAAAAAAATATTTTTTTATTTTTTGGAAATTTTTTTATTTTTCGGCCCAAAATTTTGGTCGCCGGAATTCAGCCACCGGTCGCCGGAAAATGGTCGCCGATCACCGGAATATGCTTTTTTGTCGCCGGAATATGCTATTTTGTCATCGGAATATGCCACCGTCGCCGGAATATGCTCACCGTGGTCGGAATATGCTTACCGGCGTCGGAATCTAGTCATCGGGGCCGGAATCTACTCACTGGCGGTCATCGGAGTTTGGTCAACGGTCTTCGTTGACCGGTCAAAGGTCTTTGTTGACCGGTCAACGGCCAACGACCACCGGATGTTATGGTCTGCATTGTGAGATTTATGGTTTGGTTTCTCATATTTTTGTATGCCTTTTGTGGTTTGCTTTATCGTGTTTGTGGTTTGCAGTAAGAAGTTTCTGGTTTGCTTTATCGTGTTACTGGTTTGCATTAAGAAGTTTCTGGTGTGCTTTAAAAAAAATTTGGTTTGCTTTGCTGGGTTTATGGTTTGCTTTACGGCATTTGTGGTTTGCATCAGGACGTTTCTGGTTTGTTTTAATATATTTGTGGTCTGCATTAGGACATTTTTGGTTTGCATTATGAGGTTTCTGGTGTGCTTTCGCAAATGTTGTGGTTTGCTTTGTAAGGTTTGTGATTTGTTTTAGGAGATTTGTGGTATGCATTAGGAGGTTTCTGGTTTGCATTAAGAAGTTTATGGTGTGCTTTCGAAAATTTTATGGTTTGCTTTGCGGAGTTTTTGGTTTGTTTTAATATATTTGTGGTCTGCATTAGGACGTTTCTGGTTTGCTTTCTGTGGTTTGCTTTACCGTATTTTTGGTTTGCATTCGAGGATTTCTGGTGTGCTTATGAAATATTTATGGTATGCTTTGTGAGATTTTTGGTATCGTTTAAAACACTTGTGGTTTGCTTTAGAAGGTTTTTGGTATGCTTTTTGTGGGTTGCTTTACCGTATTTGTGGTTTGCATTAAGAGATTTCTAGTGTGCTTATAAAATACTTATGGTCTGCATACCAATAACTCCTAACTGCATCTAAAAAAACGCATAATTGCATACAAGGTTCAAAAAAGCGCTAGGCGTAAGGCGAGCGGTGTGCTCTTGACTAGCGCCTAGCCCGCTTAACCGTTTCCTAGGCACGTCTAGGCGTTCAAAGCAAAAATTAAAAAAATTCTCACAATTTTGAATTTTCTGACAATTTTGAATTTTCTGGAATGAAACTTCATATGATCACAACTAGCAACAACTAATTAGTTATTACCATTCACCAAACACAACTATATTTAATACATGTATAACCGAGCGAAACAAAACATAATTTTTTTAGGACATCAAGATTAATTGCAGACTAATGATGATGTTATTCCTAAATGCTAATAAAATAGGCACTTCCATTTCATTCCAATCTAATATGTGGCTTACTATCTAACGGCCATGTAGCATTTTTTGGTTAGGTGTCAAACATATTTGACATGTTGATGCATTTGAAGCATAGAGACATTAGAATTTAGAAACACTTAAATATAAACCATTAAGAACTCATATTTGCTTTTTAATTACCACTGCCACTACCTTTTGCCTTTCTAATTGTCCAGTCGCAAACAACTAACCCAGCCACCACGCCTAGGCGTTCAAAGGAAAAATTATCGGTGAACAGTTCCCTCCCCTCGGAACAGAGCTGATGCATTTCTTCTCAGAAGCTGTTCCCGAAGAAATCCGGCGACTGACGGCTGACGAGCTAGAAATGTTGCAAGAAGCAGCAGTGCCTCCACAAAGCGGCGGCAACGATCAAGAAACGGCGTCGGCGGCAGGCCATGTTGCCATTGACATCCCCGATCCTGCACCGGAAACAGAGCCACCATCGCCGTCGTCGTCGTCGGTCATCATCGGATCAGGAACAGAGCCACGTCCAGCGGCCCAAGTCGGGGGTCGTATTCGTCGGGAAATCGAGATGACCATCCCGCCATTCAACCCGCTGCCGTTAATGCCCACTTCACGAACTGTACCGCCGTCGCGTTACTACTTTACCGGAGAAAGCAGTGCCGCCGAGAGCAGAAGAGCAGCAAAGGAAACGGACGAGGCGGGAGCTGGGAAGAGCAAGGAAGCTTGAATCCAATGGAGACGCAAAACCATAACTGAAACGGAGAGAAGAAATTCGCACTGGCCGTCAATCTGCCTGTTCGTTTTGCCGCCGATCTCCGGTGACAGGAAATATGCCGCGATGGTCGAGGGAGACGGTTTGATTGCAACCCTAAGCAGGTGGCGGAGATTAAGAGTGGAGATTAAGAGTGATTGAAATTGGGTTATCTTAATTTTTATTTTATTAGATATATGAGTATATTTACCCTTATATCCTTAATGAATTCTGTTGTTAGTATAACAACACTTAAGGTGTTGTTATACTATCCGGACCCGGGGAAGGAGGGAAGATCCCCATGACTCTTTTTTCGTTAATTCTTTTTTCGTGATTTATGTGTTATGACAGAATAGCCCTTTCCCAATATAACGTACGGCTTTGGAGTCACTGATTTTGGCGCCAGAACTGCCTTTTTTTCGTTTCCGTTTTGTTTTTTCTTTCTTTTTTTCCATAGGTATTTTTATTTTTTAGCCGAAAGGAGCATAGATGCGATATATACAATACATTTGCAAGATGTCACAAAATGGTAAGAAGAAAAAAATTGTTGGTCGACAAGTGTACGATCCAATGATATAATGATTTTTTTCTCACTGTATGGGCAGCCCGTTATATTGACAAGGTGCGAAATGAAACGTAGCACGATGGAATGATAATCGTGGCACCTAGATCTCTTGCAGAATAGCTCCGCCCATCGAGTGCGCGATTCTCTCGCATTGATCATCCAATTAACAACATGCACATAACCACAAAACAAAACATGAGAATAAGAATGTGTCAAACACCAATGAATAACATCACGGAGAGCTAGAAACTTCAACCGAACGAGATCAAAGATAAGCGGGTAGAATTGAACAAATGCAAAATATTTAGCATCTTCGCCATCAAATCCCACAAAACCAACTGATCTACACACACTTACTTCAGTGGCACCATCAAAATGAACCTGAATTGTATTACTAGGAATGGAAGGCAGAACCGAGACCCCGATCGACACTCTAAAAATTGCGTCTAGCAGCTAAAGGGGGCTGAGAACAAGCCAAACTCCACTCGGTCACCTGAGCATCGAATTGCCTTACCCCACGCGGTACGGGGCGAGGCCGGTCGTACTAATTTTCAGAGGGTTGGGACAACTAACATTTTCCCCTGATCTCATTAATTGGATTTGAACCAATGTCAAGTTACTTGACCCAATCTTACATATTATTTGAAAAAAATACACATAAAAAATTACTTTTTACGATAAAACAACGGGAAAAACACTTTATGAATGAAAAATAATGACAATAGAATAGGTAATTAAGTCTAACTAGTTGAAAGATCAAGTCTAACTAGTTGAAAATAGTATAAATAGAAAAAATATGAATAGATATTGTAAGTTATTGACATAAAATGCGCCAAGAACGGAGCGGGCGAAGCAGGGCGGGTCGGAAGTAAATACCCATACCCCGGCCCATGCTACTGCGGGTCGGGTAATATCAGTCCCATTACGGGTCAGGTCGGGTAATACCCGGCAAGGCAGGTTTAAATTGTCATCCCTATCAAATTGGAGCATGACCTGGTAACATGAATGGCTCACATTTTAGTGGTCAATCCGGTGTTGGGTCGTTAAAAAATCGTTAACGAACTGGTAACTTATAAACAATAATATCATAAATAAAAAATACATAAGATAGTAATTTAATAATTTAATAACTAAAATTATATTTACTTTGCCGATATCCTGGTACCACTTAGTAATTTTTCACACTATACATAGTATAACCTCTATAAATTAGTATAATCGGGACCGTGAAAATTATTGATTTATAGTAGTTATTAATTAATCAATAAATTAATAATTATTATTTTAGAGAGGTTTTTCTTATTATGTACCTTCATCGTATCTTCCAAACATTTCAAGTTTATACGATAACTTATCGCATTCTACGTATTCATTGTACTAAAATTTAATAGAAGAAAATTATGTATTCTTCCAAGATAAATGTATTGATGTATTCTTTTAGATGGTTTAGATTCATGTTTTAAACTACTTGCACACCTATATTTATTGATCATGCTTCATTTAGAAGACAGCACCGGAGACTTTGAGTGAAACGAGGAAAGTTCAAGATGGACTTCTATTAGACTTGAACTTCAAGAATAAACAAACAACTATATATTCATATTTTTCTAGATTATCCTAGCTATATTATAAGTTTTTAGAGTAATTTTATTTTTATAATTATTAATTTATAGAGCTAAAAATACATGTATTTATGTAGGTTGTTTTCAAAAATTACTATCTTATTATTTTATTAAATTTGCTTATTTTTTACACTATCCCAAATCGAGACCCGAGAAATTATTAATTTATATTAGATTATTAATTTAAAGAGATTAGATTGTACATAACAAATCAATAAAAACTCTAACCCTATCATAAGTGGCAGCCCCACTTCCCCTATCCTCTCTCTTGACTATCTCCTTCCTTCCTCCTCTCCAAAAGCAATAGCGTCGCTATTAGGGGTGGTAATCCGGTAAACGGTTTACCGTTTTACCGAACCGGTAACCGGCGGTATCGACAGCCGAGCGGGAAGTTGGGGGAGTCGGTTTACCGGACACGGTATCGGTAAATACCGACGGTAAATCGGTAATACCGACGAAACCCCCCTCCCTACTCCCTAGTGTTGCGCTGCGTTTTGTTGCTACACATCATTATTCACAAATATAAAA